GAAAATTGGGCGACTAGTGAGGTGAACCTTGGATAGCATACGAAATTATAATATATAACATCTATTATATTATAATATAAAAGAAATGTAAGTAAATTAAAGTAAATTTAATTAAGTCATGTATTATATTTTCGATCTGATTATTGCAGCCCCAAAAATGCAAAACAGTTTTTAGCTCTGGCTCAGAATTACCAAGAAATATCCTGACTGAAATCTTTTTTTTTCTGTTATAAAAGAAAATAACTAAAAGTAGTAGATAAATATGTCCTTCAGCTGGGAGTAGCATCATCATAGCAGTCATCTGACCTCAGACGGCACAACAAAAAGAAGCAGCGAGGCCGGTGTGATATAATAAGGAAGGCAAATGAAATATATTTGTCAAGCACCTCTCACAGATACAAAATCACAAATTGCTTTACATCAATAAAGAAACATCCCCGCCCTTGTCGATCAGAGGCAAGTTTCACCTTCTATTTAAGTGTCTGTCTGAGGTTTATTGTTTTGTCACATGAACCATGTGAGTGGTGTTCCCCTTTAAGGTCACCTCTGATGACCTCAGACCGCCAGAGGCCTATTGTCTCACGCTGACCCCTCCCACCCAGGACAGCCCAGCGAACTCTAGTCAAAACTGACCGGGGGTCAAAGGGCACAACATGGGCGTGAGTGAGCGTGTGAGTGAGCGTGTGAGTGAGCGTGAGCATAACTGCTATATTTATCTCCTCGCACACATACGTGAGCGTAGAGGATGTTGTCAAAGGGTGAGACCATGGAAACACATGACATCATAGTTCTTCAAGAGGAGATTATACATTAAACTGCATCCAACAATTAATGTATGTGCGGATGACATTCTAGTATTTGAATTTAATTGTAGTATTTTCCCACTGTACTGTGCCTGAAGAAAGTATTTAAATCACATACAGTTAATTTGTTTCTGATTATTTCGCTTAGAATATCCACTAAAGTCACTGTTACTACTTGTGTTGTTGCCAAAACAAGACTAAGCCACTTAAAACTGAAATAGCAACACAACCTCAAGAGTAAACAAATAGAAACACAGCAAAGCACGCACACACTAAATATAGAGCGAGTGGAGCGCAGTGCAGTGAGTGTGTTAACCTTGACCTCTTAAATAGACAGATAATACGACAACTGTCACACACTGGTTTCACTCTGTCATCCTATTACAGACTATACAAGAGTGTGTGTCGTGTGTGTGTGTGTGGGGGTGTCGTGTGTGTGTTGGTTAAGTCACATTCTTAGAAAGTGACATTTCTTAGCGTTGAATGCATCTAACACTCAAGGTTTTTAAGTGGCTGAACACCCTGTGGCGTTTTTGTTCATATTTTCCATATCTGATCTAAAGTCAATGAACAGACCATTCAGATCCACTATCAGCTTTTTGTTGCCTTAAAAATGCAGAATCACAACAACTCTGAATACTCGTCAGTTCTCAGCACCACTGCAGCTACGACATGAATGAGATGTGAGCAGCAGAAGTTATGACATGTTGATCAAACATTTATCACTGGAATTATTAAAATCCAAAGATATAAAAGGCTCTGCATATTTTTCTCATCTGGCATCTTCATTCATTTGAATCAGTTTCATAAAAAGAAAAATAATATCCTCGCCACTTTAGCTTGATGAAAATGTTCTAGAGATCTTCGACAAAAATTCAGTTGACGTTAATGTGAGTCACACTGTTGACACTGTTTCATTAGGCACACAAAAGTAATGCAGTTCTTAAAGAAGTGATATGATTGAGACGGAGAAAAATACTTTTTTAGACAGAGTTGAGAAAAGCTGAGTTAAAAGGGGACAGCTTTTATTTTATTTGTATTACTTGTGGTAAATGCTTTTGGATAATGTTGCACAAAGACTTGTTTTTTATCACATTTGAATGAAGAATAGTTTCATATTATATATTTAGACCTAATGAAAACAATGTTTCTTGATCCATCCATCAGCTGCATGTGTTTGTCTATTGTTTCAAAGTTCTCCAAAGTGAGACCTTCTGTCCGTGGGGGCTTCATTCTTCCAAATTACACATTAGAGTTTTCTACAAAGACTTGTTTGTGTTTTGTGTATGTTTGCGTGTGTTTGCACCAGTTATTTGTCCAAAGATCCTGATCTAAACATATCTAACTCGTATAGGTGCAAAGTGAACTCACAGGGTGCAAATGGCAGAGACATAGAACAAAAACAATGTACACAAACACGTGTACACACACAAACAAGGTTTTATCTCAGTGCCCACATGGACAGCTTTTGGAAAATGTAGATATGCCAACAACCCAGCCAAGGATTCTCTGCCATCCACATGCCCACTGCAGGAATCCCTCTCACACAGACACACACAGACACACACACAAACACACACACACACACACAGTATAGATGTGAGGAGGCGCTCCACTCAGCTTGTGCTCCTGCAGTTTGTCTTTCTCTCTCAGATATGGACTGATTATACTTTTGGGAAACTTGATAAGACTTGAAGATTTCCTCAGTTAACTAGTTACTATTTATTTCAACTTTCACAGTTGAAATAAGATGAGAATAATATAATTTCTGCAGCAGTTTTCTAAAAGCCAAGAAAAAAATTTAATTAAATAAAATGCCAATTAAATATATTATGTTGTATAAATAATGATATAATCATTATATTAAGATTTTGTGTGAACTGGAGGTTTCAATACGTCACACAGTGTTTGTTTCATATTGGACCAAAACAGGCTCCAAACTAATCGTGTTACATGTTTTTCATCACATTTGCATTATGATTCCCAGCTGTGACGTCACACAAAAGACGCACATCCTAAAGTCTTTTTTGAGTGATGCAATTTCCTCATATTACAGAGTTGCTCAAGCTTTTAGCAGATGCAGATTCGTACTTTAACAACATCTCTTACAACAACCTCCACTCGGATACTCCACACTTCTTCTTCACACACCATGTTTCACAAAACCTCTCTGCAGTGGTTCCACTGCTCCCGGTGGGAGCTGTAATTAATCGGAGTGGAAGCTGCGTTGTTGACCTTTTCGCAGGTGATCATCACAATGACGCATCCTTTAATCGGTTAGCCATCACTCTTCAACCAAGACCACTGCAATTATCACACAACCACTCTCACACACACACACAGAAAAAGATGGCAGAGAAACATCTTTCACCGCACACACACACACGGACCTGTGGCTAAAGAAAGCACCTCTGCAGAGAGAGATGGGAACATTAAAGAACCCATGATATCAAAAATTCACACACAATTTACTCTGCTCTCACTCTATCTGCCTTTATCTATCACACACACGTGCATATACACTAGTCCACTGTAAAATATCCTCTATTAGCTGCCTGCTCTCTTTCTCTCTCTGGGTGCTGTACCTGACTATTACCTGTAATGACCGTGACATTACAATAATGATAACGGCATTTGCTAATGCTGCACTTAGCACACACGCACTCCCTCGAGCAGGTTGAGACACACGGACCGTACACAAGCTTATTTTGTCTGGTGTTTGTGAAGGTGGAAAATAGTCGAGTACTTTTGCTTGAACCAACAGCGCGTCCATCTCCTCCACATGTGCAAATGTGAACGTGCAGATGTGATGGAGGGTAAGTGGACATAAATGCCGTTTTCTCACAGAAAAGAATTTAAAATTGTCTAAAGGAAGGTGCTGGTCCACTGTTGCATGAAAGGAAAGAACCATGCTTGTTTTCCTGTCCTCAGGCTAGAGTCCTGCACGGGTCCATTTTTGCAAAACTGCACCCACAAAACTCCACCTACCTACCTGCAATTATCAAATCAATTTTGTTTGTTTAGCCCTCTTCAAACCTCTTGTTTGTCGTGTTCTTGGAAAAGTATCATCTAACTTGTTTCCTGAGCGACGACATGTTGCTATCGACAGCTAATTTTACAAGCAGCAAAGCCACTAAGACCTAATTCACCATCTATGTGATCAAGTTCTAGCTAATTTGATGTTGGAAGTGAAAGTTCTCTGATTTAGACGCTTTAACAACATCCCACAGTTCTCACCTGCTGCCCACTCAGTTATGTTGACGGCCTGAGTGAGAAGGCTGAGCTCTGACCTATCCACAGAGGGTGAGATGTCTAAGTTACTCAAAGAGATCATTTCATCGTTCAACAAAATGACCAGCAGAGGTTAAACCCTCTGTACGAGCCGCAAGCTTCTTCCACAACAGTTGCCAGAGGTTTGTCTGAACCTCTGTATGATGCATGAACCCCCCCCCCCATGTGAATGTGAGGGACAACATTTTGGGGCCCTCTGGTTTATCTGCATTCATTCAGTGATAGCTGAATACTTATCACAGTTTGTGTTTTTTTTTATCTTTTTATACCAAATAGTATAAACCAGGTTACATTTACAAACATATTTATATGATAAAGTGGATATGAAAGATTGTGTCTATTTTCTCTTTATTTATTCTCATGCAGGTTTACCTACACTTTCACTTTACCGCATGCAGCCTTGTGCGTTTGTCTTTGTGTGTGTGTGAGTTTGTGTATAAACAAGTCAAGGTTGCACGATTCATCTCCTTTGATAGCATATATAACTTGAATCACATATCAGCGGAGCAGATCATTCTCACCTTCTCTTCATATATTTTACTACAAAAGTCACAGTGCAGCACAAAATAAAAATCCTGATAAATCTTGTTTCACGCTCTTCAACTGAGCAAAATGACAGATGCAATTCTTCATTAGATGCACAATCTACATTTCAATGACCAATGGGCTAATTGTTATATTTATGTTGCTCTATCTCTCCATTTCCATCTCCATTTCTACTCCTCCCTCCATCCGCCCTCAACTCTTTCTCTTTCTTCATACTGTGTCTCCTTCCTTGTCAAGGCGCAATTATTTGCAATTTGCCTAAGTCATCCATTTGCTGGGACACCAAGCATGAAAACGAGGCAATTTGGTGTAAAATGGAGGCAGGCGGGCATCACAGCATATGTGTGTGTGTGTGTGTGT